GAGGATAGACAAATATTTTTAAAACATCTGTTGTACTGAAGTAATCTGTTGTATCATCAGAAAATCGTCTTAAAATTCTACGTATCCAATCTCGGTGTCATCAGAAAGTATTTTAAAAAAGATTTTAGGGAGTGGCATTTAGAAACTTGATTTTTGAGTATATGGAAGATTTTTGAGTAGATGGAAGATTTTTGAGTAGATGGAAGATTTTTGAGTAGATGGAAGAACAGCCGGAACGGGGGGATGAACTCAGAGCCCCATACTTCTCTGAAAATGTAAATGTATAAACATTTTGCTTGAAAGACCTGATGTTTTTCCCTGTAGGGCCATCTCGAAATGGTTTCTACGGGCATCTTTGGCTACTTCGCTTAGTGGCTTAGATTCGTTTTTTGCTCGTTAAAATTCTGTAAAAAATTTAAGGTTCTATTCATATTTTCTTGTTGGACAGATTAACTTTTCTTCAATTTTCGATTTCATAAAAATAGCTTTATACGTTGTTTATACGGCTAAAATTCGGCGAAGTTTTACTACTTGCAACTTATATTTAAAAATACGTTCTTACTACATTTTACTATGCTAAAATACATTTTTATCTACAAATTAATGACATATTACTAAAATTAAGTTAATATTTATTGTATCTTACAACTTTGTTTTTATGACCAAAATATGTACTGAGAGCAGTTGCCTAAGTAGCAAATGAATCATTAAACAATGACTGGCATATTTATGCATGTGTAGAAATATATGGTCACGAATTTCATGACATGCCTTAAGGCGGTAGAACATTAAAAATCAAAAAAAAAAAAAAAAACAAAAAACATTACATATTTGCTAAGCTAGAAGAGAGAGAGAGAGAGAAAAGAAAAGCTCATAATATAATTCATAACAGCTTGTACAGCAAACATACAAAATATTGTCGTAAAAACAGGAAACACTTATTTGTGTTTATGTCGGCGAAGTACATGGAACCACCCTCGGAGTACGCATATTTTTATTAATCATAAACAATTTGAATGCCTGCGCCTTTATGTCAATGAAAACGTACCGAAAAATCTATACTTGTTTTAATAACGAAAAAGCCATAATTTGGAAATTGGTATTGAGATGTGTAACCATATGTTTTTATTTCGACACACACAAAAACAATGAATTTCCTTGGAAATGACCTTCACACAGTAATATAAAAACAAACAACAACAACGAAAACCTTATCCATATTAATTTTATTGCCTTTATCATCAACTAAATGACCAATGAATTTTTATATAAATTATTTCCCGAAATAAAAACACCCACGCACACCCCTCATGGGGTATTTCAGACAGATTGGCATTCATAAGCCCAATATTGTTAAACAATAACAACAACAACATAATCAAACATGATAAAGCTGAAATATATTGCAGGAGGTTATTCTTTGTTCTTGCTCTCTAAGGAGAACTTATTTCCTTGATTAAAGACTTCTAATAAAGATTTTCACAAATCTAATAATAATTTTTAAATGAGCCTTAGTATGATTATTATATTTTGCTAACGCTCCTACATGGAGGCCAAGGGATCCAGACAAACCAAAAAAACTAAACCTTTAATGCCTATAATTTATTACTAACACTAAAAGTCCTTAATAAATTAATTTTTCATTGAGAATTGTAGCTATGCGAAATGGTCATGAAATGGAAATTCTTTCACACCTTTCGCCTGTCACTGTTGGAGAGCAAATATGGAAATGTTGCCTCGGTGAAAATGAAAATAATTCTTGTTGAGCGAGCAGCAAAGCTAATTTGTTAATTGTGTGAAAATCTAAATAAATTGTATATTTTCGTGTGGAAAATTACAATAATTAGTAACACCTAAAAGTATGCAATTAATAATATTTAAAGTAAATTCCCCAAAAGTTGGCTATACACAATAGGAAATGTTTGGGGAAAATCAGGGGAAGGAGAGTTTGAGTATAAAATGAGAAGGTTATACATAATGAATGTTGTTGTGGCAATAGAGTATTATGTGGTATTAAAACATTATTTATTTTATCTATTTGACAGACAGACATTGACAGACAGCAGCTAAGTTCGGCTTCCACCATCTGCAATGAATTTTCAATTTTTTCAAAAATTCCGAATGAAAACCGTAATATGGAACCTATGTAAAGACGTAGTCCACATATTTATGTAATTTTTTGTCATAGGCTGACATTGGAAATTTGAAACAATTCCGGTAAATATTGTCGCTAATATCATCAAAATACCGAATAAAGGGAGGTGTCGTTATGTGTGGGCCATACGAAGAAATATTGTCATCAAAATACCGAATAAAGGAAGGTGCCGTTATATGTGGCCCATACGAAGAAACTTTTGCCATAGGCAGTAGTAACCATTACGAACTATAAATACGAAAACTGAATAAATCCGGCGAATAATGTAGCTAAAATTATTAATTAAAATACCAAATATCGGGAGCTACCGTTATACGGGGGCTATACGAAAAAGTGGACCGACGTGACCCATTACGAACTTAACCTCCCTACTGGCAAAATACAAAATTTTGGAAAATTTAAGCATTCTATCTCAATTCGTTCGAAAGATAGCGTGATTACAACAGATGGTCAAATAGATGGGCATTGCTAAATCGACTTCTTTTGCCATGAGTATTTCGAGGAGCTACAAACGAAATGACAAAGTCTGTATATATATCCTCCATAGAATGTTGGAGGGTATACAAATTTCCGTTAAAATATAGATATAATTTTAAAATGTCCAAATATCAAGTGTTGCAATTATTTGGGGTTATACGAAAATGCGAAGCTTTGCATTAAATTATCTGGCAGAGAAGGAGGTGCTTATTACGAACTTCAAATACCAAGTGTGAGATAATTCTGTTGAAAAACTTAGCTAAAATCTTAAAAACACCGTATATTGGGAGGTACATTTATATGGAGATTATACAAAATGTGGATATGTACAGGAAATTTTCTGTAATAGGAGTTAGTACCCATTACGAACCCCAAGTATTAAATTTTAAACAATTCCGGTGACAACTCTGACACAAATCATCAAAGTATCGAACATCTGCAGGTACAGTTATATGGAACCTCATTTTGTAAAAATTCTTGGGTGGCGCTGAGTCATGTTGGAATGTCCAAAGTGTACGGCCAAAATGTTTGAGTGCCCGAGGCTTTAATACACCCGCCAGAATATTTACGCAATAATATTCGCATTTATTCTGATGCCACGGTCGATTAATATGAGTGGAGGAAGGAAGGCTGTTATTGCGGCCCACACCATCATCATGGCCAGCGCTTGAGTTCTGGTGGGCAACTGAAGGTGCACATTTTCAGCTGATCTCATATGCAAGTAAACACGATCATTTACTTTGTTTACAAACTGTTAGACAACGAATGTTTTTTCATCGGAGAAAAGCAGCAATTCGGCAGTTTACCACTTTCGGTCAAAGGAAGCAACTCTTTAGCTCTTTGAGTCTATTTTCTTTCTGTTGCGGCGTAAGTTCTTGCACTTTTTGGAATTTCAATGGCTTTACCCCGAGCTCATTTTTCAATATTTGCCGAATGGAATACTGCGATATGTTCAACTCATGAGCGATTTTTTGGCCACTGCGACGCGGGTTTCGATCAAGCCGCTTCTTTACTTTTCGAACCATTTGTGCTGACGTGACAGAAAAGATTTATTTATTTTCACATTTAAATGCTGGAGTGCTCTAACGATAGCCACTTGTGTTTTTCCAGCCAAATATAAAGAAATCACACTATCACGCTTGAATTCCATCAGAAATAACATTTTTTGGAAAATTCTCAAATGCTTTTGTACGCTTGTAAACAATATAATGAGCTGTCACTGGGATAATTTTAACAGCTGTCGGACGAGTGGCTTAGATATGACAGCAGTCGGAAGTTGGTTGCAGTTTTTTCATCTAACCCTGTATAGCAATATTATAGTTGGTATGATAATGGTTACGTGAGCTCTACTAAAGTCGGCCCCGCCAGACGTTTCTTTCTTTCCATACTTTCCATACTGGTTTATGTACATGTATTTTCCAAACCAATCCAAAACCAAAAAAAAAATTGAAGAGGATTGTCGCTAAATCTGTACCAACATTTTACATGAAATTATTCCCTATTCCGAACATTTTGAATCTCTAGCGCTCTCGCATTAAAAATAGAGTGGAGAGTCAGATTCGTGTGAAACTCCTATTCTACGAACTCTACCACTTGTAAGTACGTTTCACTAGCGAGTAACGCACATGTCTGAGCTTTCGTTAAATGTAACTAACAGATTTCGTACATCTGTCATCCCAGTAAAAATTTGGAGGGCGAACGTTCAACTATCAGCACTACAAGTAATGACAACCACATTTCGCCTTATTTGGGCAATTTTCAAAACAGAGGAGTTCGTGTGCGTAACATTGTAAAATCTTGCAAAAAACCAATTTTTATTGAGTCATGGAAAAAAATCAACTTCAACTTGAGATATATTTCATATTTTTAGACAAAATATTGCAATTTTTGTCACATAATTTAGGGTGGTAAGGTTACATGGAGGGTTACGTGGGGTTACGCGAAGTAGTGGGCCAATACAACCCATTTTCGTTTTCTAACTTAATTCCTTCGGTAGATAAGTTATTCCAAAAGATGGAGAGGCGGTCGGAAGAGGTTAATCTATCAAAGAATTCTCATACAGCAAAAATATTCATACTTTATAGGGCCTGGGGATAAATATATTATACTTCTATTGATGAGGGTATTTATAGCTTAAATTAAATTTACAAAAATTGATGTAGCATCTTGACAACATCTGAACATCGCCTCATACATTCAAATAAATATTTACATAATGGCACATATAAAATTTAAACACATTAATTATGCAAAGCATTCACCTACCCAATTCCAGGGGAATTTTTTTTTAGACTCATTTTGATTGGATTTCAATACTAATTTATTATATTTTTAGTTTTAAATTTTAAATTGCATTTTCGAAACTTACCTGACCCATATTGGTAAAACCGTATTTATTTGCAATTATATCGGCCATTTCGGGTCCGGCGGGAATATGCACAGCAAATTCATTCGTATACATGGGCTGGCGGGGCAGACTGTGGGTGCCACGGAAACTGTCCAACAAATCGTCATGAAAATCGAATAAATAATCATCGGGACTTGTGGAATTCTGATGGCCAGAGTGCAGCTGTTGATGTCGTTGCTGCTGCTGTTGTTCGTTTTCATTATTGATAATTTGTGAGAAGGCATCGCTATAATCATTTAGGATTATCTTAACAGCCGAATTGGTAGCATTCACAGCATTTGCGGTTATGTACAGGTCGTTGTCACTATTGTTGTTGTTGTTGCTGTTGCTATTCTGCTGATTATTGCTACTATTTACATGTTGACTAATTGCTGCTGCCCCTGCCGCTGCTGTTGATGTCGTTGTTGCTTTATTACCGGTGGTTGAGGTGGTGGCTCCATTGTTGGTCTTTACAAATTTACCTTGACTGGAAGGCAATGCATTAGGTTGTTGCTGCTGCTGTAGCTCAAGGCTGGGCACAGCCAATACGCTGGGCAATATAACTAACATCACTAGGAAATATTTACACAATTGTGTGAGTGTGGTGGTGGTTGGCTGTGGTCGACGATGCAAGTGGTGGTGCATTTTGCCAAAATTGAATAGATTCCATATCACTGGTTTCGATGGGCTGCTGCAGATGCTACTGCTGTTGCTCTTACGCTTACTGGTTGCTGGATATCGCCCCCGGGGTCTTTCGCGCCACTTTTGGGTTTGATGGATATATGATGCTGTTGTAGCCGATGCTGCTGTGGCTGCTCGATTCACTGGCAATTTCTTTTCTTCCGGGCAGGTATTACTGTGATACAATTTACGAGAAACTGTCGAAGCAGCATCACCAGCATTGCCATTGTGTGGTGTCACATCCCCCTCTGTCATTGATGATGATGGCGATGATGACGACGAGGACAGAGCCCAACTCATACTGGCAGTTTTGGCTTGTCGTTTCAACGCCTGACTCTGTGATGATAGTTTGCCATTTTGGAAATTCACATTTGTTGCTGTTGTCAGTTGCTCATCTTCGCATTGCCAAATGTGTGAGGGAATTGTGGAGAAGCTGTTGGTGGTGGTGGTGACGGCAACGGCGGTGTTGGAAGTGACATTTTCGGTGTTGATTTCACATTGAGATGATATTGAATTGTCACATTCATCATCGTTGTTTGGATTATGATATAAATTCATAGTTGGATAGATTTCTGGGATAAGTTATGGTGGACGTGTTATTTTTGTTGTCGCACAAGATATGAAGAGAGAGATGGTATGTGTGCTGGATTGGTTGGGTGCAAATAGCGTTCCAGGAGTAGAAAACCAATTTTGCAATCACACGGAAAACTTGCTGAGTAGTGCTCCCTTTTTGAATCTGCTCTTTCGTGGATGGGGAGAGGTTAAGGGGATGTATAGAAAATTAATTTCAAGTTTTAATCAAATTTTAAAAATTTTTGATTAAAGTTCATTTGTATAGATTTTGATGTTAGGGTCGTTGTTGGTGCTGTTGATATAGTTCTAGAGTTTGTTAAAAATGTTCTTAATGTTGCTGCTGACATTGGCGACAACATGCGTACGATTTATTCGATAAAAAATTAATTTCCACACAAAAACAAATACAGCGATGACGATATATATATATATATGTAGAGGTGATGAATATGTGTTGATATTTTAGGGTGTTATTATTTTGATTTATCCTTTGCACAATTTAAATTATCATTTTGCTGAAAAGAAAGAGAGAAAATAAGAAAGGGAGAGATTAGTTTTAGGCCAGAATATATTAATGCAAAAAATCTGAGTTCAAAACAAATATTTGCTGTGTTTCTCTGTATTCATTGTCATATACGTCGTATAATCGATGGCGTTGCTTATACGGCATGATGTACAGTTATGTATTTCGGAAAATTTTTCCGATTTATGAATGATATGAATGTATGATATGAATACAAAGGAGCACGGCATTTTGTATACCCTACAACACTATGTGTTGGGGGTATTATAAGTTTAATTGGGCCAAAAATTATATAACACCTCGAAATATTGGATTCCCACAAAGGAAAGTATATATGGATCTTCCTATTTCGCCGAGCTAAGTCGATCTAGCTATGTATGTTCGTCCGTCCGTCTATCTGGCCATGTTAGTTTGTAATCACTCTACAGGTCGCAATTATGGCCCGATCTTCACAAAATTTAGAATGGAAGTGGGTCTAGAGCTAGAATTGAACGCTACTGCTTTTGGAGATGATCGCATAATATTTAGGGGTTAAATGAACCAAAAACTGAAAATTTTAATGATTTTGCAGTTGCTCTACAGTTATAGACCAATCGACGCGGAAAATAGCATGGGACTAGAGCTTACGGCTCGGCAGAAGCCTTCCAATTTTGATGGTCACTAAATATTAGTGGGTTAAATAGACCATAACATTTGTGTTAAATAAAAGTCAAATTTTCCATTAAACTGTGAATATTTTGAATCCCGGCGAAAACACAAATAGACGAACAGGTCAATTCTGACCGTAGATGCCGCTAGTAAATATATCGGTTCAAAATGCTAAGGGTAATATATGGGCAGTGTTCCATTACATAATTTCAAATGCGAAATCCTCAAAAGGGATTTGGGCATAAAGGGGCTTCTAATATATAGTAGTGTTGTAGGATATCACATGGTCGGCCCCGCACGGCTATAGCCTTTGCTTGCTTGTTTTTTATTGTTTTTTTTTTGACTCGGAGGCCCTTCAGGTCAGTCAAAATTTCTCATATAACTGCCGCCTATTTCATGAAGGTGGACAGAGTGCGTCACATATTTTTTCAGCATTTGTTCGTGATACGCCGACCGGAATATTGGAAAGAGTATGCAAAAATTAAACTAAGCTGATGGATCATTTGAGGCGCAGTCGCGGTCAACATTTGCATGAAATAATCTTCAAAATGCACAATTTCTTCAGTTTGACAACCATTTCTTATTCTAAACAGAGTTTTTAGACTTTTATGATTTCTTTTAAATTATTCAAGGTATGGAAATGGTTACTTTTATACCAAAAGGTCTTAAAATCTTTCATTTTAAAGTTTACCGAGAATGATATTAGTAAAACCATTGTACAATGGATCTACATCTAAGTTTTCTGTCCCGAACCTAATTCAATGTCTGCATATGTAAACACTAGAATGGAATATTAAATTTAGGATTTCAGCTCCATCATTTCTTCTTCTACCAAATTTAGTACCATTTAGTGGAATTTGGATACGCATATCCAAAACCAGCTCCTCTTCTCATCCACACCATCAACAGTGACATAAGTATAAAATTTCAGAATCTTAGCTTTATTCTTTCAAACAATGCCAAATTTAGTACTATTTAGTACTTATCGTATAATTTTAGTACATATTTGCAAAATTACCACATTCACCAACAAAGGCATTCATATCAATTTTCAGGATTTCAACTTCATTCCTTCACTCATTTCCAAATTTAGTACTATTTACTATTCTTCGTACAATTATAGTACAAATTTTCAAAACCACCCCTATATTTCAATTCCAGCCACCAACACAGACCTCACTATAAGATTTGAGGATTCCAGCCTTGTATTCGTATTCGTGAGGGGAATACAGATATTTAGTACTATTTTGTACTTTTCGTACAATTGTGGAACACATTTCAAAATCACCTCCGTTTTTAAGTTACATATATCAACAGAGACCTCAATATCAATTTTGGGGATTCCAGCCCTATTCCTTCGCCTAATATCTAATTTAGTACCATTTAGTACTTTTCGTACAAACATAGGAAGTATTTCAAAAATCACCACCAAATCGCAGATACCATCAGTAATCTACCATCAAATACCATCAGTGACATCTATATCCAATTTAGGATTTCAACTCTATTTATACACCCAATATCAATTTAGTACCTCTTAGTACTTTTTGAGCAATTACAGTACATATTACCAAAACCACCTTTATATCTAAACAGACAATTTCAGGATTTCAGTTCTATTCCTTCACCCAATATAAAATTTAGTACTATTAATTACTAAATTTCGTACAATTATATTGAATATTACTAAAACCACCTCTATATCTCAATTCCAGCTACGAACAGAGACCTCAATAACAAACTTGTGGTTCCAAGCCCTATCCCTTCACCCAATACCAACTTTTTTACGATTAAGTACTTTTCGTACAAATATAGGACGCATTTCCAAAGCTCCGCTAAATTTCAAACACAGATATCATAGGTAATCCAAATATCATATTTCAGATTTGTATCCCTATCCCTTCTTCCAATAGCAAATATTACACCATTCAGTACTTTTCGTACAATCATTTATGAAATCACCTCCATATGTCCAGGCTACACACGAACAGCGATCCTAATACCAAATTTAAGATTTCCCGCACTATATACAAAATTGTACCAAGTACAGCATCTTTTCTTTATCACAACAGGTACTCGAATACAAAATTTCATAATTTCAGCTTTATATATTTAACCTAACCAAATTGTTCCAAATTTAGTACCATTTATTACACTTCACACTCTTAGTACACGTTTCCAAAACTTCCATGTATCTTACTCCAAACTCATTACCGAATTTAAAGTTTTCGTAACCTTTAAGTACGAATTTCCAAAAACCCTTTGATACATCTATCCTACTATCTATTAGTGGCTTTTATTCCAAATTTCCAAATTCCAGATCAGTATGTTTGTCCAATACAATTTTTAGTACTTTTCGTACCCTTTTTGTACGATTTTCAAAACCCAGCCTACGCACCAGGATTGTAGCTTTAGCCGTTTCGTCGAGGTGTTGATTTTCACTTAATAAGCCAGTCAATTATTTCACTACTCGTTTGTATATGTTGATAGATGAGTTAGCATTAAAGCACATCTCTTATTAATCGATTTCGAATTTAGGCCACATACTAATAGTGTCATCAAAAGCACCTGCAGGTTATGACATGCTTCCATATTTTCTGTAGATTCCCAATATAATTTTTACATTACCGAATTTTAAAGCATATATTTTTTTCTTCTTTCCGAATTATGAACAATTCAATTGACAAGTGACTTGAGTATGACAAATCTTTTTAATTGAATTTTCAGTTCAAGGCAATATTCCATTTCATAAATTATTAAATTCACCCATTACACATACCCACATGTATTCTCTCAGACAAAGAAAAATATCTTCACAAATAAATGATTAATTGCCGATAAATCATACAATAATGCGGAAATTCTCTGAAGAGCCATTGGCATTAAGTTGGGGAATTAAAGCAAAAAATAACAGAAGAGAACAGGGGATATAAATTCAATACAATTCATGTGATTTATATTGTATTAAATTTTTGGCATAACGAAAGGAGAATGAGAAAAATAAATATATATTTACATGTGGGATATTTGAAGGTCATAGAATGCAGAATGCTACAAGGATGTCAGATATTGAGAAAATTTAAGAATTTTGCGTTTTTTTTTAAATATTAAAAAACATAGATTACTTTTAAATAATAATATATGATTAGCTGTTTCATGGATCTGTCTTAAGTAAAATGAGTGGTGCGTATATAAGACGATAATAAGTATACGCTCCGTTGTAATCAATTAAATTGATAGTAACTAAAACGGAACTAAACCAAGGACTTAGTAATTGAGTATGAACAAGTAAAAAATCAATAATTTGGCCGTGGTGAATTCTGAATACCTTTATACTTGGTTCTCTAATCCGTTATACTTGGTTCTCTACAAAGACGTGGGTCAGCAAAGGCAACTTTTGTCATAAGCCATTGCAAAATTCAAATATAAAACTTGAAAAAATCCGGTGAAAAATGTAGCCGAAATCATAAAAATAACGTATATAGGGAGGTACCCTTATATCGGGCCTAAACGAAGTCACAGACTGTAGTACCTATTATTAACTTCAAATACGAATATAAGGAAGGCACTGATATATGTGCATAGACAATTTTCTGGCATAGACTGTAGTCGAAATTACGAACTTTATAAATGATTTTTTAAAAAACTCCGGTGAAAAATGTCGCTAAAATCATTAAAGACTTGAATCAACATACGCGATATTTTTTAGTAGGCTGTAGTACCCATTGCGAATTCTTAATATGAAAGTTGAAACAACCCCTTTGAATAATGTCCCTAAAATCGTTCAAATATCGAATATCGGGGAGTTCCGACTGTTGTGTATGGGCTACACGATATCGTGGATCTATATAGACATATCCTTTCCAGGGGGTAAAGTGCTTAGAAAGTACTTTTGATATGGATTTTAGACAATTATATGAAAAACGTAGCTTAAATCATGGCGGAATTATATGAAAACCGTTATATGGGGGGACAAACGATATCGTGGACCTATATAGACAATACTCTTCCAGCGGCTAAAGTACTCAGAAGGAGCTTCTTTTTGGATTGCCAGACAAAATTATTGAAAAAATTGACTACAATCATAAAAATACGGAATAAACGAAGGTACCGTTATATGGGAGCATTACAATATCTAGGAGCTATATAGCCCATCTTCGAACGTGACCTACCTGCCACAAAAGACAGATCTGTGCAAAAATTGCAGCTTCCTACCTTTATTTGTTTTGACTCTAGCATGATTACAATAGATGGACAGATGGACGGAAAGACAGACAGTTGGGCCGACATCGCTAAATCGACTAAGAATTTTATGCTGATCAAGAATATATATATATTTTGTGG